CCAAGGAAGGGAACGGACAGGCGCTCGCCGTTGCTGCCAACAACGAAAACCTTGCCACCGTACAGAGGCAGAGCCGAGGCGTTCCAGCCAAGGGTGTCCGGGTTGCGGAAGTTGACGCTAACGGTCTTGCTCTCGCCCGGCTTCAGGGTGAAGTCGCGGGGCAGGCTGATGCCAACCTCAAGCTTCTTGGGACGCAGCTCAGCGAAGCTCTTGAGACGGCGGGTGAGGCCACCGGTGACGGTGGGGAGGTAGCCGAGAGAGTCGACACCAGCGCCGTGTTCGTACGAGAGGGCGTACTCAACAGACTGCTTGCCCTCGTTCTTGACGGTGATGTCGTGGTACCGGTTGAAGTAGCGCGTGTCGTTGAGCTCAATCTTGTCGAAGCGCAGGAGGGTGTCGTAGTTGACGACCTTCCAAGCGTTGATGAGACCGCTACCGACCTGAGCAGGAGGGGCGGGGAAGTTGTAGTCAAGAGCGGAGCCGTCGGACCAGGGCACAGAGACACCGCTGGAGATGATGCGCTCGCTGAGCTCCTTGGCGAAGCCGTTGCCGTGCTTGGAACGACCGCCATGAGCACTGATCCAGAGAGCAGCAACACCAGCGACGTAAGGGCAGGCCATCGAGGTACCACTGATGGTGTTGTAGCCACCGTCGAACCACGCACTGAAGATGTCGCCACCAGGACCAGCAACATCGGGCTTGAACTGGAGGTCGTAGGTGGCACTCCACGAGGTGAAGATGCTAGGGCGGCCACCGGCATCGTAGTCAATGGCAACCACCTGCTCGGGGTTGATGGAGAAGTCGGCCGTAACATTACCACCAGCCTTGATGGTGTTGACGATGGCGACACCGGCATCGGCGCTGATGGCGGAAATCAGGGCGGGGGAGGCTGCGTCGAAAGGGGGCTTCTGCAGGGTGCCTTCGTTGTTGTAGATCAGGACATACTTGGCGCCAGCGGCAGCCAGGTTCTGCTGCTTGACGGTATAAGCACAGCTGCCGCGCCTCACAAGAGCGACAACGTTGGAGAAGTCGCGGCCGGTGAGAGGAGAGCAGGCGTCGTCGGCAACAGCAGTGTTGAGCGTCACGGGGACAATGGGCCAGTCGACGACAGAGGGGGGAACGTTCGATGAGGCGGGAATGTATCCGGCCCTGGTCGAGTTGACCTTGCCGTCGAGGCTGAAGGTGACCTCGAAGGGCGTGGCCGGGAAGACCTCGTTGCGAATGGACGCAACAGCGACGACGTTGCGACCAGAACCGCCTGAAGTGCCGAAGAAAGCACCGGCGGCACCGCTGTTGCCGGCGGAGATGGTGACGACAACGCCATCCTCCACCAAACGAGAGGCGACGACAGCCCAGGCATTCTCAGCCCAACCGTTGGTGCCTCCAATACTGGCGGTGATGATATCGACCTAGCCATGTCAGCGGAGCTACATCACTGTGGGCAGTGGTCACCTACACCATCCTCATACGCACGGAGGAAAGACTCGATCAGAGTGGCCGAGTCGGTGGAGGGCTACGACGAGTCAGCGTCAATCCGTCTTCGCGTCACAGGGCCAGCTTCACGTACGGACTGGGAGAAGACCTTGTAGGCGTAGAGGGTAGCCTCAGGCGCAACACCCTTCCAGCTACATTCGGTCAGCGTTTTCCTTCTTCCGGTGGAGCAAATTGTGAGGCATCGCACTATTCGGTGGAGCCGGCAATGATGCCAGCAACGTGGGTGCCGTGACCGCTGAAATCGTTCGGGTCTTGGTCGGGCTCCTTGGCGGTGGTCGGCCAGACTAGGAGTTACAATTAATATGGCATCCAGAAGGCGTGTGGATGGCCAACTCACTTCCATCACCAACCAGATCGTAGCCACCAGCAACCTTGAAGCCGGGTCCGAAGCCCTTACCAAGCTGCCCATCGTCAGCAACTGCCTTCTCCGCTCGAGTTCTCGTCACGCACAGCATTGTGGTTGTAGGCGATGCCAGTGTCAACGACGCCGATCTTGACGCCCTTGCCGAGGATGCCCTGCTCATGGAGCTTGTCGACACCGGTCGCGATGTGCGGCGTGTACTCAATTGCCTTGGCGTCGTCGCTGAAGCCCTGGTGGACCTCAAAGGACGGCAGGTCGACCTTCTCGTTGAGCCAGACGTTCTTAACCTCAGGCAGCCTCAGGAGGCTGTCCAGATTGTAGGACTCGGTCTCGACGCTGACGCCGGAGAAGATGTCCGACTCGAATGTCTTGACGACTGTGATGTCGTCGGTGGACTCGAGGCTGGCTTGGCGCCTACGCAGAGAGCTCTGGTACGGATTAGCAGGGGCCCACGACCACGATCACTGACGCGATGGTTCCTTACACGGCTGTACTCAATGATATAGCTCTTGGCGACGTACTCCCGGTTGTCCTCAGCCGTGTCAAGATCGAGGCGGCGCTCGAGGGCAAGGGCGCCCCGTGCCAGGGGCAGAGCCAGAAGCAGACTGTTCACACGCATGGCGATGGACTGGACTGGACTGAGAAGTCTCGTATAGTATCGCAGCTGAGAGCCTGACGATCACAGGATCATTGCAGATCACGGGCGCGCGTGCTGGATTAAATAGCAGCGTGTACTCGGGCAGCAGCCTCGGCGGCGGGCGTGCGTCGGAAGAACATCCATCGACGACCCCTGCTCCCACCCCATCTTCGCGCGTCTTTCGCAAGACCCAAGACGTGATGCGATGACTCGTTCTCGCCTGTGCTACCGACACCGCAGGTCAAGCTCGTGTTGGCTCGAGGCGCAAGGAATACAACGCGCCGTGAGGAGAGGGGCCATGTCGCGTGCTGCTGGACAGGCATAGCGTCAACGCAGAGGGGTGCAAAGGTTGGCGGGCACGAGAGACCTGCCAAGCCTGGCGATGGTCGTTGAGCTTCCTTGTTGGCACAAGCCAAAGGGGTCCCGGTTCGGTAGAGCCAATAAGCCAGATCGGGTGCGTGCCGGATGCCACAGTAAACATTGTCGACCTGCCGAGTTGAGCGAAAGCGCCGCAGCGGATGCCGGAGGTCCCAGGGCGCACTAGGGCCCGAGGGCATAGTGCAAAGAGGGCCCGGGTGGCGTCCATCTCATCTTTCGCGTTGGGTGGGGAGACGGTCGGTCCATCGAGGGCCTTATCGGCCAGGGTAGGGATCTGGAGGAGGGGGCGACGCCAGGCCTGATCAGGCTTCTGGAATGCGAAGTGGATAGTGGCGGCCTGCAGCGTTGCATCGGACCGGGGAGCGCGCGGGGTGGGAAGGCTCTGAGCGCGAGGCCAGAAGCTGTATGCTGTGCATCGTCCTGCCGTTTTCCCTCTGGGGCGATATCACGACAGACAAGCTGCGTCTTGCGACGGCGTGCTGATTGGTCGTCTCGTTCGTAGCGTTCCAAGCCTATGCGGGAGAGGCGTAGAGAGAAGATGTTCTTGGGCACTTGGCTCTACTCTCGTTCCAGGCTGTGGGCACCTGGATGACTCCATCGCGGCGCCGTCGACTCTTCTCGTGAGAAGCCAGGGTTAGGTATTTCGGCGCCGCCCGACGGTGCCTGGACCGTTTCTGGCGATCATCATCTCCGATGGCAGCTGAGAAACGCAGGACGATGCTCGAGGCGTGAAGCTTGATGCATGAGGCGCGAGGCGAGTGATGGGGCTATGGATAAGCGGCACCACGATGCAGACGGCAGGGTGAAGTGGTTCGGAGAAGAGAAAAGAGAAGCCATCTCAGCAGCCGAGGAGACAAGAAAGGCAAGTTCGTTTGTGGTGGGGTGGCGCCTGACCAAGAATATCCCCGATTCATGGGGTTGCAGCCACTCTCTTGCCATATTGCTAGGTACCTACATCACCTACCTAGACACTTATCTAGGTGCCTATCTACCTACCACCATGATTGCCCATGGCGCCACATACATTCCGCCACTCTTCTGTCCACCTCCTACGGCACCTTAGGTAAGGTACCAGGTGCCTACCGAAGGCACCTATCGTACAGGACTTAGGTCCTGCGTCCAAACAATCACCTTTCTCCCGACTCTCCCGACTGCCCTGAGTTGAAAAGAGGTTGGGGTAATCTGCCTTGAGCTCCGCAGGTCTGACCTGGGTGACAACACTCGCTTACGAGCAAGCAAGACTATGGACACAGGACTCACGCTGCAAGGCACCAAAATGCAAGAGATACTGAAACAGGAAACCTCACAGCAAAAACCGTCACATTCAGTTGTCTCGGAAAAACCCTATCAATTGAACGACATTCTCCTCTGGGGTCTGGGGCACGGTCCTGCCAGAAACCGTGGCTTTGGCATGACATGTCGTTCGCGACACATGGGTGGTTCTCAGCTTTGTTGCTGTAAGCCTCTGTCTTACGTTGCCGCTCGCCCCGCCCTCGTCCCGTCCCGTATCGTTGGCAGATCCTCGACTCAGTTCAGACTTTTTTTTTTTTTGTTCTGTGCCCAGCATGGCTGGACATATTGAAACTGCATGCGATATGTTGTCATTCAAATCGGCCAAGGATCGCCGTCGTGGCGTGCGCAACTTAGACAACTCATTACACCCATGGTTGATAGCATACCCTGTCGGATGCAAGGCGCGCGCTGGAGCAGCATAGCGGCAAGACGTTGACGCCCTTCAAGCTCATAGCCTCTGTGATCTATAAAGTCCAGACTCGCTGGACGGCACTGGGCTGGTTTTGGCAGACACTCGACATCCACACTCACAGGCTTCTCAGCACCACAGCTTCTTCAGCACTACAAAACTTCACATTCGTTACAATGGCCACCCGCCGAACTTTCTTCTCTTTTCTGGCAGCGCTCTGCGCAGCACAGGGCATCAATGCCACGTCGTACTGCTACTGCGAGGGCGGCCCTGGTTTCCACTACCTCGGCATTGAGACCGTGTGTGCCGAGCTCGGGTGAGTCCTTGATGACACGCAGCACCATCTCAAGCATATCTGACCATGATGGAAGCACGGCATGAACACGACCAACTGTGACCTTGGCAGCTCTGACGTCTGCAAGTTCGGCGGCGACGGCGGCGCGCCTCCCGATGGCACGCAGTCTCTCCGGCAGTGGTGTAAGATGAACTCCGACCACCCCGTGGCATGGAAGGATGAGAACGTGCAGAGACTAAAAATACAATAGGTGAAAGTCCTGACCGGCAGGGACGTGATCTCAACGGCGAGACAGTGCAAGGCGGTGCCCTCATCTGTACAGAGTCGAAGCCCGGTACGTCGGAAATTGCTGGCATTTGTTGCCTCGAGGAGACTGACATGAGACCAGGAATGGATCGACGATTCCGTGTGAAGCCCTTGGAGAGGCGGGACGAGAGGAAGATGTTAGAAAGGCCCTCCCCATCGATCTCGACGAGCCAGTCGATGGGTCGGAAGACACGGACGGTATCCCAACACGCCTGCGTCGCCAAGCCGACAAATTTGGAAGCGAGTTTCTCCGCTACGCCCCTGCGAGCAAGACGGCGAACCTGATCAAGACGGCATCCAACCGCGACGTCAAGACCCACGGTGACGGCAGCAAGGAGACAATCTATCAGGTCAACGAGCTGCGCCTCAAGGGATACAACTGGAAATTCCTGCGGAGCTACGACAACCAAAAGGGCGCCGCCGACTTCACCGACAGCGTCGAGATCACCAAGGGCTTCGAGACCTCGACGGGCTCCAACACCAAGGCGGAACTGGCCGTGAGCTTTGGCTACAACGGCCTCGCCGCCCAGTTCAGCGTCGACGCCAAGCTCTCGCACGAGTTCTTCTCGCAGAAGCGCGAGACGGTCACGACGAAGCGCAACGAGACGTTTTTCGTGCCCAAGGGCGCCGCTGCCTATCTCTACCAAAAGGTGTATGTCTGGGAGTCGACGGTGACGTTCAGGTTGACGTCCGTCGGCGGTCCGTTTGACAACGGAGGCAAGCCGGGCAAGCGCGGCACCTTTGACCTCGCCATCGACGAGAGCGAGCCTCTCTTGGCCTCGTTTGAGTTTGACGTCTTGACGGAAGAGAAGGTTGTCAAGGACGCGCCGCTGCTCGACCGTGGGACCTTTGACGTCGAGAGGCTCTTTGACCTGAAAGAACCGAAGTTCCCCAAGGCCGACGCTCTGTACGAGGAGGACTGGACCAGCCACGTTCGCGACTTTATCAAGAATCTCGGCTTCAAAATTTGAAGGAGGGCGGTTTCCTAGACAAGGCTTCTGCAACAAGCCTGGAAGCACCGGGCCAGCCACCATTCGTGACTGGAGACGGGGACGAAGGCATGGGGAGCGGGTAAGAGGGGCATGCCACTCTTCTCAGCGTCGCTACGACGAAGACAAACGAGTCATGGTCAGGGGTTTGCTGTAATGTTTATTTGTTCTTTTCATTTCGAGTAGTCTCTTTAGATTCTGATATATAATTTTATTGCGCAAGAACGCGCAACATCTTTCCATCAGCATCACTTCGTGGCCGTGATTAACGATGAAGCGAATTCCTGAATGCACCCTGTTCTTCGGGTAAACGTCCTCGACGTTAAAATTATCATC